CACCGATTGGCGTCATTGACCGCCTGAACAGAGTCTTTGAATGTAGACCCTCTGCGCTCATTTGGTCACTAACCATTTGCTTTGTCTTTCAGGTAAAAACTTAAAAAACACTAAAAACCTTAAAGATAGGATAGGTTATCCTTTCTTAAATGATCAAGCATCGATATGCAGGATCAACAGATCATGTTTAGTCCGGGTCTTTATTTACAGTCATGTATGTAAAGGATGATATTTGCTCCCTTGACTCTGGTTCTGATCCGCTGCTCCCTAAACAACCGGACACTTTTTATACTTTTTCTTCTTCCTCCCAGCATCTAAACGTTGCTTTCTACTGCAGTATTTTTCAACCTTTTTTGAGCCTAGGCACATTGTTTTCATTGAAAGAATCAAGAGGCACACCACCAGCCAAAAATCTAAACAAATGAAAGTGTCTTGAATAGGAATTTGTATCATATTTTATATTAGATATTTCAAATTGCACTTAACATGTCTACTTCAAAAGTGCGCCTGATCAGTGGCACAACAATTTAAATTTAAGACCACATTGTTCACACGACTAATTCTGACCAGAATATAGAAAATAATTCCTTTTCTGAGAGAAGCAATAATATTTGGAAAAGAAAAGCTCACGGTATTTGCCTTCCGTTGATATCCACTGTAAAAAATATCCGTAGATTTTACAGTTAAAGAAAGTAAAAAACGAAAATTTAATACCGTAAATTGGAAATCAGTTTAATACTGTTTATTTAACAAGTAATTACCGTAAATAAGATAATTAAGAAAATATGTAAATTTTACAGTTTTTTTTCCATAAAATTTACATTGCACTGCTGTAAAATAAAATCTGGTAATACTTTTAACAGTAAAATTCCGTAATTTTTCTAGTAGTACATACTGTAGTTTTTCAATTTTCTTTTGTAAATAATACAGTTAGTATCTGTTAAAAATGCATACTGTTGTGACAATTACAGAAACATACTGTAATTTTTCTAGCAATGTATACCGTACTTTTTGCATTCAATAATTATAAAGTATACAGTTCAAAACTGTTCAATATGCATACTGCTGTGGAAATTACAAAAATATACTAATATTTTTCTAGCTGTGTATTTTGTAATTTTTACATTTAAGTAATCTAAAGTATACAATTCTAAACTGTCAATATGCATACTGTTGTGGAAATAAAAAAAATGTAGTAGTGCTGTAACCTTTGCATTTAATTCTCCTGATTAATACAGTTGGTAACTGGTAAATGGGCATGCTTTTGTGGCAATTACAGAAATACGCTGCAAAGATTTGAAGAGTCAATGCTGTACTTTTGGGGTTTTATTCTCATAAATTTACATATGCTCATGGGGATAACAGAAATATGCTGCACATTTCTTGCATACCTTCTCTTAAGAAATTATGCCTTTAACTGTAAAGAGTATTGGTTATGGGGAAAATATACAGACCCTTTCTAAAAATTTTAATAATCAAAAATCTATTTAATAATTCCATTCAAAAAGGTTAACTTTTCATGGAGTCAGTCTTAGTTCATGGGCCAACAGGGCCCCCTGCACCTGGTCCGCGCGGACAGGCGCAGTGTTGCTCTGGCGGTACTTTGGAAGCGGTCGATTTGAACGGACCAATCAGCGCGCTGCATTTGAGGACCCGTCGCACTCGGTGATTGGCGTTTTTGTCCAACTTCCGCTCAGATTGTGCAGAGACTTCATCATCCAACCTTCTCCATCTGATCGGCTCTCGTTCTCAGGTAAGGAAATATTGCGGAAAATTTCAGAAAACAAATAGTTTGAATTGCTTTCGGTTGGTTGAAAAGACATTTCAGGGGAAACGAAGAAAAAAAAAAAACGTTGTTGAAAGTTAGCCTCTCTACAAAGCTATTGCTAACATCGGTTTTGTATCGCCATTGCTGTAAGCTATCCATCGAAGTAATATATTTAAGATGTATTCATGCAACCTGTGTGCAGAACCAGTTAAATCTGTTAAAGCCTTTGTTCTCCATTGCAAACTGCATCGCAACGAACCGAGGCGTAAGTTCAAGTGTGTTGCGGCCGGTTGCGAGCAGGTGTGTTCTGGTTATGCAGCATTAAAATATCGTCATCATAATAGCATGCCAACAGTTGCTCTGGACACAAGTGTAACGAAATTAAAATGCACAGTTCCACTTTGTAAATGGCAGTGTGAAGGCATAAAAATTTTGGTTGTTCACTTGAAGGAGCATATAGTAGAGGGGCGTCAAGTAACTTGCCCTGTGAAAGAGTGCACCTCTGTGTTTCGTGTAAAATCTTCCTTTACCTCTCACATCTCCAGGAAACATAAAAATTATTTTGAAAATGTGATTTGTCAAACAAGTAATGAAGATACTCAGAGTGCTTCAAGTGCTACCAAAAAAAGATTCCAGTGTGCATTATCATCTTACATAATAGATGGGAATCGGTTTGTACCATTAAAGAATAGTGTTTTGGCAGTGTAAAGGCTTGCTTTTACACTTTTATTAATGGTTCAGAGATCAACCTTTTTTAGTTTTCTGTATTTCAACAGATATGATGGATACACAAAAGGACATTCGTGATGCCATTCGAGCAGTGCTTCCTGGTCTTTCTCAGGAGGTTTTGGCTGCTTTAGAGGATGTGTTGGAAAAACTGGGCACTACAACCGCAGATGATTTCCAGTATATCACCGAAGGAGACAAATTGCCTGTGCTGAAGCCCATACAGGCCAGAAGACTGGTTGCTGCATGGCCCAAAATAGTATTTTGAGATAAAGTCTGTGTAACTTTTGCACATTGTAAAAGATGAAAAATTGTAACAGTAAAAAGTACATGTACTTGTATATATTTATGTATAACTTAATTTGATATGACCAGTTGATAAGATATTTCAAGATAATAGCAGTTTTGACACTTAAGCATATTGTGTATATCTTTTTTGATAAACATTCTTTTTTTCTTTACCAAAAAAGTTTAGACTTAATGTTTTTCAATTTTATGCAGTTTTTTTTCCATAAAATTTACATTGCACTGCTGTAAAATAAAATCTGGTAATACTTTTAACAGTAAAATTCCGTAATTTTTCTAGTAGTACATACTGTAGTTTTTCAATTTTCTTTTGTAAATAATACAGTTAGTATCTGTTAAAAATGCATACTGTTGTGACAATTACAGAAACATACTGTAATTTTTCTAGCAATGTATACCGTACTTTTTGCATTCAATAATTATAAAGTATACAGTTCAAAACTGTTCAATATGCATACTGCTGTGGAAATTACAAAAATATACTAATATTTTTCTAGCTGTGTATTTTGTAATTTTTACATTTAAGTAATCTAAAGTATACAATTCTAAACTGTCAATATGCATACTGTTGTGGAAATAAAAAAAATGTAGTAGTGCTGTAACCTTTGCATTTAATTCTCCTGATTAATACAGTTGGTAACTGGTAAATGGGCATGCTTTTGTGGCAATTACAGAAATACGCTGCAAAGATTTGAAGAGTCAATGCTGTAATTTTGGGGTTTTATTCTCATAAATTTACATATGCTCATGGGGATAACAGAAATATGCTGCACATTTCTTGCATACCTTCTCTTAAGAAATTATGCCTTTAACTGTAAAGAGTATTGGTTATGGGGAAAATATACAGACCCTTTCTAAAAATTTTAATAATCAAAAATCTATTTAATAATTCCATTCAAAAAGGTTAACTTTTCATGGAGTCAGTCTTAGTTCATGGGCCAACAGGGCCCCCTGCACCTGGTCCGCGCGGACAGGCGCAGTGTTGCTCTGGCGGTACTTTGGAAGCGGTCGATTTGAACGGACCAATCAGCGCGCTGCATTTGAGGACCCGTCGCACTCGTGATTGGCGTTTTTGTCCAACTTCCGCTCAGATTGTGCAGAGACTTCATCATCCAACCTTCTCCATCTGATCGGCTCTCGTTCTCAGGTAAGAAAATATTGCGGAAAATTTCAGAAAACAAATAGTTTGAATTGCTTTCGGTTGGTTGAAAAGACATTTCAGGGGAAACGAAGAAAAAAAACGTTGTTGAAAGTTAGCCTCTCTACAAAGCTATTGCTAACATCGGTTTTGTATCGCCATTGCTGTAAGCTATCCATCGAAGTAATATATTTAAGATGTATTCATGCAACCTGTGTGCAGAACCAGTTAAATCTGTTAAAGCCTTTGTTCTCCATTGCAAACTGCATCGCAACGAACCGAGGCGTAAGTTCAAGTGTGTTGCGGCCGGTTGCGAGCAGGTGTGTTCTGGTTATGCAGCATTAAAATATCGTCATCATAATAGCATGCCAACAGTTGCTCTGGACACAAGTGTAACGAAATTAAAATGCACAGTTCCACTTTGTAAATGGCAGTGTGAAGGGATAAAAATTTTGGTTGTTCACTTGAAGGAGCATATAGTAGAGGGGCGTCAAGTAACTTGCCCTGTGAAAGTGGTGCACCTCTGTGTTTCGTGTAAAATCTTCCTTTACCTCTCACATCTCCAGGAAACATAAAAATTATTTTGAAAATGTGATTTGTCAAACAAGTAATGAAGATACTCAGAGTGCTTCAAGTGCTACCAAAAAAAGATTCCAGTGTGCATTATCATCTTACATAATAGATGGGAATCGGTTTGTACCATTAAAGAATAGTGTTTTGGCAGTGTAAAGGCTTGCTTTTACACTTTTATTAATGGTTCAGAGATCAACCTTTTTTAGTTTTCTGTATTTCAACAGATATGATGGATACACAAAAGGACATTCGTGATGCCATTCGAGCAGTGCTTCCTGGTCTTTCTCAGGAGGTTTTGGCTGCTTTAGAGGATGTGTTGGAAAAACTGGGCACTACAACCGCAGATGATTTCCAGTATATCACCGAAGGAGACAAATTGCCTGTGCTGAAGCCCATACAGGCCAGAAGACTGGTTGCTGCATGGGCCCAAAATAGTATTTTGAGATAAAGTATGTGTAACTTTTGCACATTGTAAAAGATGAAAAATTGTAACAGTAAAAAGTACATGTACTTGTATATATTTATGTATAACTTAATTTGATATGACCAGTTGATAAGATATTTCAAGATAATAGCAGTTTTGACACTTAAGCATATTGTGTATATCTTTTTTGATAAACATTCTTTTTTTCTTTACCAAAAAAGTTTAGACTTAATGTTTTTCAATTTTATGCGTTGTACCTTTCCAGACTCAATGGCTTCAACTTCAGGCAGGGCATCCTCCTCTCCACAGTCAGTTCAATCCTCTCAACCTGCAGCCTCACTTTCACAACCATCATCTGCTGATACTTCATCGCCTTCCCTGAGCTGCTCCCCAGTTTTGCCAACCTGGGTTGACAGTTGTCAGATACCGTGGCAGAAGCTTCCAGAAGAGCTGATACAGACTTTGGAACGACAGAAAAGGCCAAGTGCACGACTTCGAAGACAAATGGTGAGGATTATTGTCTCTGAAATGATGCTGATTTGCAAGAATCCTACCAAACGCGACACTACTGAAATAGCAGAAAGGATGGTGAGCAGGTATCCAAAGTCACTTAAGGACATCATTGATGGTGATGTTATTGGACTTGGTTATCATTCCCTGGTAAAACAACTCCAGGCAAGAATTGAAAATGTCAAACGACAAGACACACCAAAGATAACTAAACGCAAGGCGGAATCAGATAATGACACTGATGAGATACCTGCTGAGCAGAAAGCCAGTGTTCAAGACACGTATGGCTGTGTCAACTGGGCGCCAAAGTTTTTGCCCCTTTCTGAGACAGTAGAGAGTCAGCTTAAGAAAAAATAAGACATGAAAAAGATGTTCAAAGACAAAAAATATGCTGCAGAAGATGTGAAAGAACTTATCAAGTCCACCTATTACACGCAACGAAAGGACATCAATAAAGGTACAAGCATCCTGACGCTATGCCAAGAAAGGCCTTTTTTGTTCCATGAAACTGGCATGGAAGAACACTTCCAGCAACTTACTGGCATCAGTCTGACGGAAGCCTTCTTCACCAATCTGGACAAAAAGGCGGAGCGCATCCTCAACTCTCTCTTCAAGTTAGCAAGTGAAAAAGGTCAATCCAGTGGTTGTACAGAGATGATTCTTCTTCTACTTGCTTTTTTTGGTGAGAAGGAAGAGCAAATGTTCCACTATGTTGAGAAGACCAGCCTTGCTGAAGAGGTTGAGATGGAGGATGTGCCAGCAACACCCTGCCTTATTGTGTGTGGTATGTATGAACCAAGTTGACAAAGTAGTTGAATGGTTCACACAGGGGCTTTTTGTGATATATATTTGTTCATGTTTTTTATTCAAAGGGTCCTCTTGCTTCACTGCGGACTGCTTCATGTTGAGTATTGATCAGAAGATTATCAATGACCACATCACTGCCTTCTCCTGTGCCATCTGCCTGATGTTTGGCAGTTACTACTGTTTTAATATACACTACCTAGTGGGACTGCGGTCAACACTGGAGTTCCTCCAGAGGTAATTCTTATACTTACACAGTGTCTATATTTACCAGCAAGATGAAGTTTTCACATTATAGATCAGAATGTTACTAGTTACTGAAATATAATAAATACAAAAGACAATTGAAATGGAGGGTAAAAACTGCTAAATCTAAATATTCATGATAGAAATAATGCCAGTAGAAACTACGAAAATGTTTTATCATTTCTTTGCAGTGTTTAAATTGTATATTTTTTATGGCCATGGACACAGAAGAGTTCTTCAGTCTGTTTGTGAAGCAGAATAGGCACAAAAGCCTGTCACTAAATATTCCTCTGGCTCTGCCACTGAATCCAGCCACCACAAAGCTGGATCTCGTGATATCTTTCTCTTAAGTCATTTATAAACATAACATTAAATGCAATAAAATTTCTTTTCTTCAAGGTGTTTATTTTCAATTAATCCAGAGAGAGGAACAAAAGTTGAGCATAGCAAGAGGAGGAAGATCTTTGCGGTCAACCCAAGAGTCCTCACACTCATCGCTGACCTTGCAGACCATGAGTGGACTTAGACCATACTTTGAGAGTCATGTGATATGATGTGTAATGTTGTTATGTTGCTGTATGTTGAAAACTGCATTTTATTGGTATTAAGGTTTACACTGTAAGATTTCAAAATTTTCATCTTCATGTTAAATTGCAAATTTATGTTAGACATTTTTTTCTATATGTAAATAGCAGATGACAATGAAACCGATTTTATGCTGCACCACTGTCAAGGCTTAATGAATATGGTGATTTACAAGTTACAAGTCAAAAAACCTGACAAACGTGAACAGTTCTATACCTATTTCAGAAAGGTTACAGTGGTGGCCAGCACATTTGTTAGAAAGTTCTTATTTCTGTGTATGTGCCAATTTCATATGGATTATTCATTTGAAACACTGCACCAGGATTGAAGTGATAATGTTGTGTCATATCTCTTCAAACTTTTGCACTAATGTAAGTGCTTGCTTTTTGGAAGATGTGTTACAAGTTCTTTGTAATCAGTGTGCACAGAGTTGTGAGAAGTTTGTACAGCCAAAAAGTTTTTATTAAATGGAAAAAATACAATAAAGTTTGGTTTTTGGATATTTTATGTAAAATTTGCTTATACATTTCCATGTTTTTACCATTAGACTACACTGGTAACACATTATTTAGCTGATATAATCGATTTGATAATTTTACAAAGTAAATTTGCACTTCTCAATTTAACAATTGCATTGTAAAAAAAAAAAAAAAAGTTTCATTTTTACGGTAAAATACTGGCAGCTGTGGTTGCCAGAATTTAACCGTAAAAATTACAGTCAGCTAATTTTTACAATTGCTGATTCTACAGTAAAAAAAATTGTGTTTTATTTAACCTTTTACTGTAAAAATGACAGTTTTTACCATTAAAATTGATCAAGTTTTATCCTAAAATTTACATTAAATCAATATTACAAATACACTGAATTCCTGTATAATTACAGGGTTTTGTCTGTAATTTAAAAAAAGTATACTTTTTAAATTACAGACAAAACCCTGTAATTATACAGGACAGTTTTTTTACAGTGTACTAAGTTCTTCATCTGGGTCTGAATTTAGCTTTTTTCTTTTCAAAACTTTTCCATCACTGTCATCACAGTCTTGCTTGGTACAATGCTCTCACCGCTTCCTGTCACATTCATGCATCACTAATTCTCTTGTTTTAACGTACAGTGCTGTGTACCTACTGCCATCCTGTCATCAGGAAATTACATGATGACGCCGCTAGTCACTATACAACACAGACTCGGAAATGGCATATTATTTGCAGTCAATTTGTTTTCAAAAATCGTTTTACACCAATTTAGTGAAATTGAATAATTTCCACGGGACACTAGTTGAAAAACGTCTAGATATGTATAATATATATAATGAAAACATCATAGTAATTTTATCCAGTCTTTGAATGTAGGTTATCTCCGATAATTTAGTCACTTCTGTTTTCTTTCTCGTATCTATATTTGTATTTGCATAAACTAAATATTCTACTATCGTATCTAATGCAGTTTATTAAATTGACCACTGCAGGAATTATGAACAGTCTTAAAATAAGCCGAAATAAATTTGACAACAATGTCAATATCACAGTCAAACTAAGAAGAAAACGAACTCTGCCCAGATTTGAAAATATTTTACTTGGAATATAGAACCATAAATCCTTTTAATTTAAAAAAAGACCGAAGCCAATTGATTTTTAAAGTATCGTTCGTTCAATCAAATTGAAAACCTTGCAGTCGTCCATCTTCAAACTGATTACATTACATTTTCTTATTAAGTGAGATTTATGTTTCCATAGAAAAATAATAATCCTGTTGTTGGAATTAATTGCAGAAATGTGTATTCCTAATGCATGTGCAGTGTAGGTAAATCTGGAAATACTTTCCATTTTGGTGAAAAATATTCTACGCAGAATAGATAAATCTCTGCTATTACAGGCCAACCTTTCCTAGGGGCAGTAGAGAGCAACGTGTGGACGCTGCAGCGAGCAGAACCGATACGAGTTTGTTTCCAGAGTCCAGTGATCAAATATCATCCTCCTTTACATACATGACTGTAAATAAAGACCCGGACTAAAACATGATCTGTTGATCCTGCATATCGATGCTTGATCATTTAAGAAAGGATAACCTATCCTATCTTTAAGGTTTTTAGTGTTTTTTAAGTTTTTACCTGAAAGACAAAGCAAATGGTTAGTGACCAAATGAGCGCAGAGGGTCTACATTCAAAGACTCTGTTCAGGCGGTCAATGACGCCAATCGGTGACGTTGATTCTGGGTTGGAGTTTTCCATTCAAGGAAAACGTGACCAGTGAACAGCTGAGCCAATCAGGAGCAGGCGACCGCCCACTACTCATTAACTATAGCATTTGAATACTTAGTTGGTTCCTTTTAGTCTTGAAGTTGAAATATTTTCAAAGTGACTCATCTTAGTTATTATAAGTCCTTCACAGCGTCTTCATCACATAAATATGTATTTTATATGTGACCTTATGTGTGGAGAACCTTAAATTCTCCTTTTACCAAAATGGAAAGTATTCCACATTTTATTCATTTATTTTTATTGAACATTTTTTTTATGATGTTATTGTCTTAAAATGATGTGTGTGTCTTTAGCCTGTAAGATTTTATTACTTAAGTGCATGACACGTGATCTTGTAAAATGGTTCAAAGTGTTTAATAATTAAAAAGAAAAAATGGTGGTGTTGGTGGTGGACTTTCCGGGTGGTGGTGCTCTTTTGATTTGTTGCACAATTTTCTTTAGTTTTGTGGTTTTGTTTGCTGTGTTTCTTTTATTTAGGTCACTACCCTGAACTGCACTGCCACCCTTGACTTGAGCCGTCACTGTTATTTATTTAATGTGAGTGGTTTTAACTTAATGTATTTTATTGATTAGCATGAACTGATGTAATAAATAAAATTATTGAAATTAGTGAGATTGTCTCAAGCCTCATATGTAGCGGCCTGTGTGCCTTGAAGATAACTTTTTGGGGATAAATTATTACAGTTTTGTCTTAAAAATAGTTCTATTGAACCACACCGGTCCCACCACACATATATATATGCAGGTTAGTTTTTTTTTTAGAACCACATTCAAGTTGGAAGAATTAGTCGTGTGAACAATGTGGTCTTAAATATAAATTGTTGTGCCACTGATCAGGCGCACTTTTGAAGTAGACATGTTAAATTCCTATAAAAAGAGGTTTTTCCACAAATTCAGCATCATGCTGAATTTGTGGAAAAACCTCTCTCTTTGTGAGTTTGTTAAAACAATGATCGTTTTGTACTGTTTGGACTGTTTCTGAGAGAGGGAAGCTGGTTGAATTGCCACTGTTTCAAGAGCAAGATAAAAATAAAAGTGTAATATTTGAAATGAAAGTGTATTAGGTGTAATTATTTTTAGGAAACTGTTAAACTTGGCATTATTAGTGGAGGGAGTTAACAATAGTTGGAAATGTTAGTTTACTTAAATTGCAATTTTAAGTACAATTGCTGCCTTAAAATCTTAAGTTAAATTAACTCAAAAAAGGAATTGGTATGAATGTAGTTAGTCAGTTTAACTTGAAATGAGAGTTGAAAGTATATATAATTGTTTATTACTTTAACAAAATTTCACTTGACAAGAGTTCTCAATTTTTTGAGAATGAAGAATGTTCTGTCGTTAGTCATTTCAACTTATGGTTTCATATTTAAGCAACAAATTATAAGCAATTCGGCTACTTTTCTAGCTTGCCAACCTAAGTTGGAAAAATACATAATTTCAAGTTGTGCTAACTTGTGTTTTTAAGGCAGCAATTGTACTCAAGTTTTTAAGTTTAACCACCCTAATTATTTTTACAGTGCAGAATCAACGTCACCGATTGGCGTCATTGACCGCCTGAACAGAGTCTTTGAATGTAGACCCTCTGCGCTCATTTGGTCACTAACCATTTGCTTTGTGTTTCAGGTAAAAACTTAAAAAAACACTAAAAAACAGTCTGTTCATTATTCTTGATATGGTTGTTTGTGCTCATTATCCTCCTTTTTGAACTTAAAAAGATAGACTAACTGTAACTTCAACATTGAAATCTAAGTTTTCTCAACTTATCTATTCGTAAGTTAAAACTAGTTGGTTACAGTTTCAATTCATAACAGACACAATGGGAGCCTGACTAATACGCCAACATGAGATGCAGTTTCTCTTACTAATATCTGTGTGTGATACCAGACATCATCATAAAGGGATGATTAGACGACTAAGATATACACAGGATTATTGTTTCAAAATAACACTAACAAATGGAGTTATAAAAAAGAAAAAATCAAAATAAACCAAAAATAACAAAAAGCAGACAATCTGAATTTTTTTTCTTCTTTTGTCTCATAGTTGAGGAATATCTATGATGACAATTACAGGCCTCTCTCATCTTTTTAAGTGGGAGAACTTGCACAATTGGTGGCTGACTACTATAAACTACGCTATGAGGTTTATATGAATGGGTTAATATTTCAGGAAAATAGGGAGGGCATGCAAAAATCGGTAGGCTAATAATAAGCTGTGCAGGCTCAGAAATTAAAATGCATCCCCCCTACATGAATAGACCAGACAGTTAAACGTGATATAAAATGTTCTGCACAATGGGCCTCTGTTATCAGTGTGTTTTCTCATCGATTTTCTCATCGTTCGGTCCTCCAGCGTCCTCGGCGACGGGTCCTCCAGGGTCTTCGGCGACTGATTCTCCCTCCAGGGTCTCTACAAATTAGATATATAGATATATAGATATATAAATATCTATGTCTAGACATAGATATCCACATCGATAGATTGACGTGGATAACTATGTCTTGATAGATATTCACGTCTATCGATCACATATCTCTTGACAGACAGATGACAGAAAGACGTGCATATCGATCTCTAGATATCTATCTATAGCTACATCTAATTTGTATTTGATGGGTATTGTCTACATTCCCTGCAAAGGAAAATCATTCGTGACGCAATGACTGCTGAGGGCCTACATTCAAAGGCTCTGGTTCAGTCGATCAAT